GCCTAATATTAATATCTTAGTTGTCTCCGTAAATCATGTTTGATATATTTACTTATTCCAGTAATCTTAAGCAATTTTGATCTTTTAGTTTAAAACAAACATGAAGCTTTTACTTTATCATAGTGTATTAGGAATAGTACCGTCTCCCGCCTATCCTCAAATATAAAGCATATCCGAACTTCTCAGTTAAATTAAGCAAAAGGACCTAATTTAAGTTTTATAAAAATGGTTAATAATAGTATATAAGGCATCCCTTCAGTTTTATCATCGTTTTTTCTTATTTCCAATGAATATTGAGATATGCACTTATGATGAATTTGTCGTTTTGGACAAGTATTGTTCTGGGCAGTTATACAAACCTTATGTTTAATTGTTTAATACACGCTCAAAAGTTAACTTCCATTTCAACACTGTAGTGAATTGTACACGTATTAGCTTACACTTAACATTGAAGCCTCTGAGGTTTACCAACACTGAGCGCTCTTTTTTTCTTTTTTTTTGTAATAGGTACAATCTGCTTCGAGGCTAAATACTGAGGAATCATGGGATTGTAAGCCATATTTACAAAGTTGGTTAAAACTAACGCGAAGAAGAAAAATTTTTGAGGTAGTCTAATTTGTTGTTTAAATTTCAAAATGTAAATGATTATCATTATAATTTTCACGTTACATGAAAAGCTGTTATATCATTGAAGGCTATACGTAGCCTTCAATGTTTTTTATATATCCTATTGGAATCAGCTCAAGGTGAAATCAACTGTGTACTGTAATCTGTACGTAACTGCTTAGTGAGTGTAGGTACTGTGACAGTGTAGTCATTCGGGAATGGTTAGTTAACATTTGGCAAGCTTTCGTTACGAAGCTTATAAGTATCTTTTGCTTCGTAATCGTTCAGTGAGCGTCACATAGTAGTATGGATTGCGAGCTTGGTAGTAGGTTAATCCTACTGCAGGGGAAGTAAACAAAACAGAGCTTTTATCTTGTCAAGGTGAGATTGTTTTAAAAACAAATATGAATTATAAATCAAAACAAATTGAAACGCACGTATTTGAGTTTATGTCTAGTAAAACTGTAAATGTAATTATCTAATGACTAATGGTAAGAATTGGGCTAACTCAGTAACAAACTTAAATGGTACAACATAGTTTAAATAAAGTCCGTTAAGAAGTATTATAACTTTATTACTGCTAATATTGTTTATACAAGGTTATTGGTACAGTCCTAGACTTGTGATTATGATAGTGATGTAAAAACCATTGGTGCTAAGCGCACTACTGTTATTAATTTGGTGAGGCTTTATAATATAACTGTATAAATTGTACTAACTAAGCCTAATTGAAGTTCAAGTATCGTATGCCAGACTTTATATATAGACTTAAAACTTAATGAAGTTAAAGTATTTATTTACGAACACATCAGTAACAAATGATAGTGGTGTTTTATGCAAGTTGTTTTGTGGATACTAAAGTATATTGAGTTTGTTTATTATTATTATTATACTCAAAAGGATTGTGACAGTGTTACTGTTACTGACTGGGCTAGAAGTAGAAGGTGGAAAATTAGTGTTAGTATAAAGAAGTGTAAAGCTAGGTATTTGGGTGTGGTAATGAGGAAATGCTTCTTTGTGAGAAGAGCATTAATTTTATGGGGGGGGGGGACCTATAGCAGAGGGGAAGAATTCCATGTTGACATCCCCAGCATTTATTTTTTAAATTGTCAGGGCTTTATGTTTCTATTGTTATAATATGAAATTTTTATTTTGTGTCAAATATTTGGATATATATTTATCTTATTTTGCTGTTTGTTGCTTGAGGTTTTATGTTTTTTTTTATATTTTTTACCTAAGAGCATATTTGTTTCTTCAATGTTAACTGTTGGCATTTGGGATGTTCTTTTTGTTTTACAGGTATTTATTGAGTATTGTTAAATTTTAGTTTTCATGTAGATCTTTATAATATAGATATGTTAATTTTATTTGTGATTGTTCATGGTTAGTCATGAAGCTTTTGACCTCTTGGTTTTATTTTTTTGCATTATATTATATTGTTTTTTAGGGGATGTATTTTAGCTTGATTTTATCCATTAGCAAGGTTTATATCCCACTATATTCAAAAAACAATAATATCTTTACATTTTTATTTACTATGTATATTACTGAAGTGATTATTTATATTTTCTTCTGGTTCTATGGCATTAATTGACATGGAATGTAATTTTTTATATGGTGGTGCTACTTTTTTAAAATCAACATAAACTGCCACTTATTAGTCACAAGAAGTATCAACAAAATCAGGACACTTATTTTAGTAAAATAAGAGAGTATGGCTTTAAAACAATCAATTGTATTGGAAAACATCAAACTATTTGATATACTTAGAGAGACGAAACATTATTAATTTGTGGTGTAGATCCTGGTTCATGTGGTGTCATATTTTAAAATGTTCAGTAACAGGTATTATGCTTATGTATATTAATATTTCTTCCAAAGATGTTTCCTTATTTTCATTATATTTTTTATTTTTACTGAATCACTTGTGAGGAATCAGTTCATACAAATACAAAGTATTTGTTACAATTCAATGAGATTGCACTCTTTTTTTCATTCACTCTGTTCACTTACATTAAAAATTTATCACTTATTTATATTATTTAACATTTGACATAGATTTAAACTTCAATAATAAGAGCTTAATTATTACTATTGTTTTTTATTATACATAATAATAATAATTTGAAGTACATACTTACATTTTTGGTTGTTGAACTTGGCCAGTTATGTAAATTGATGCAGCCTTCAGACTGAGGTTTTAGTACATAAGAGTGGGTAATTTGAAATTGCATTTTCTCTAGTATGCCATGAGTTTAATGTATTGCAGAGTTAGGCTGTAGTGTTAGAATAAATAGCATGCACATGTGGTTCTGATATTATATTAAGTGGTATTTAGACCCATAGTTCTACAAGTTGGGAATCAGTCAATATTGTAATGTTACCTCAATGTATGAAGTCATGTACTGACAGTGATTATATTGTACAACTGTGAATGTAATATTATTGTCAAAGGTGTAATAAATGTAGCCTGGAGTTTGTACTTGCCAGAGTGGTATGATGTAATGTGGTTTTGTTTATATTGGTGTGCTCTGGTCATGGCAATGTTATGGAAAACCACAACATGGATTCTTTTATATAGATATCTTCCAATAATATGTTTCAGTGATGCCTAGTCATGTTTTCTATGATTGTCAGAGGGTGTTATGTTTTATAGCAAAGGAATGGGTGATTAGTAATTGTCAGTGTGGTAGGTTCATAATTGTTTGCTATGATATGGTTGCTAAGTTCAGTAAATCAAACAGATATGAGCCCTAATGTTGAATTAATTCTGTGTTCAAACCTATTGTTGATGTGAATATGATACTAAACTGTAAATTTTAGACATTTTTTTTACCATCTTTGGTCTTCAGATGCCAGTTGAAAAGATCAAGGTATTTAAAGGCAATTTTTAATGTCATAAATTGATTCTTTGGGACAATTTTCTTAGGAAAACACCTGCCTAAGTGAGTGAAATTCTCTGGGAACGTGTACTAATACTTCAAATTTGAAATTTTTACTTATGGTTACCATGGAAACTGAGTCATGACTCACTGCTTAATTATTACACTTTTTTGTCATGAATTAGTTAGCTAAAGAGCTAAGAAATCCAGGTTTTGAAAATGTTATATCTGTGGTTCTATAAAGAGAGATTTTAAAATTCAAATGTTCTTAGTTTCATTTTACCTGTACTAGTAGGATTGGTTTAAAATACATTTGAATAAATTCATTTTTAGCAACAGATGAGCGGCTTATAGAATGGCTCTGAGTTTTGTGTTTTTAATTCAAGTACAAACTTTTAGCTCATAGCTCTGTCATCTCTTGACCGATTTGAGAACTAATTACAGTTTTGGATTCAGGTGGTCAAACCCTTTCGATTGATGTATTTGACCACGCCCAAGGTCTCGTAGATTTAATCTAATCCTGCCTAAGGGAATTTCAATTTGAGGGTAGGCTGGTAGAGATACTAAAGAGTAATAAAATTGGGTATATGTGCATCCCATGCTTGGTATTGTTGGTGCACAAAAATATAGCTAATAAAAAGGAAAAAAAGGTCTCGTAGAATTTACTCTAATCCTGCCTAGAAGAATTTTAAGTGCTGTGGCTATAGAGGATTCCCTCTTGTTTATTGTTAGGAACCTAACTTAAATAAGTGGTAAATGTAATGATTGACTTCTGTGAGTCTCTTGTCTACAAATGTGAAACTTTCTTATTGCTTGTTTTGGTGTATGTTTAATGTTTCATGATGGTAAAAAATGGTTTTTACTTGTCTCTCTGGATACTATAATCAGAGTTATCTGACTTGACATTTATAGCCGTTTGGCACGACAAATAGATTTTTTACCCCACAATGTCACAAAAACTTTTCTTCATAGTGAGACAATCGGGATACTCGTACATCCTTGAATTTCCTGCCTTAATACAGTGCATGCATATATCACCAAGCAAAAGCACAACTAGTGGATTTTGATATTGAAAAAGTACTAAAAAAAGGTCAAATTCTACATTTCATTTGTTAGTGAATAATTGACACTTTTTGAGAATCCACCCGAAATTTAATTATGCATTCAAAGGGTTAATTAGAGGGTACTGATTATGAATCCAGAAGATACTACATCTGCATCCTTTAAGGTTTTGAGAACCATCTCAAGATGGCTGCCAAAACTTCAAAATAGCAATACCTCAAGTTCTGAAAACAATAAAGTAGCAATTGCTCTGTACAAACATTCACAGCAAGGTTTATGGGGTGTGAGAACTCAAATTGCAATTTTACTTATACTATGATTAAAAGGTGGTATTTCAATACTAAAATTACTACTGTGTAAGTCATGAACTTGTATGTCCCATGCTAACTGTAGGATGAAGATTTATATGGATGTATTTGCCTAAATCTGACTATGCCACAGAAGACAAACATATGTTCATTCATATAATTCGTATGTTTATAATATAGTATGTATAATGCATATGCTGTGATAAACTGTATTCGTATGTGCACTACAAAAAAGTATACATTTTCACATGTATATTGTTGCTCTGGGCAAACATTCACAGCAACAATGTACCATGTTATACTGTAGGTCAATAAATACCTTACTGCTATCCTATTATTCAAATAAATTGTCAATAGAACAAAAATTCTCCATATTGTTAGAAACATCATCGGAATGTGATAAACCATAAAAATGTGTGTGTGATATAAAGGGAGGACATGAAAGTAAGTCATAAGGAGGCTGATGTTGTTATGGTGCAACAAATGATGAGCATTTTAAGGGTTGATGTGCAAAGAAACCCCAGATGAACCTAACAATATCTTTTTGTTCCTATGTTATGTTTGGTCCCTTAACACAGGAAGGTTATTAGCACATTAATTGGAGTTGAGAGATGGACTATGAAAAAAAACAAAGAGTTAATGTTTTGAACTTGTTTTCTGTAGAAGTTAGAAGAATTGTAAGAAACATAATTCAGTTTAAAATTTATAAGTGTGAAGACAGTTTTCCTTTGTGTGGTTTCTGTCAATGATGGAATGAAAAAGTTGGAATTCTATATTCAAAGTTACTCTGTGGAAGAGTTTGGATTATAAATATTTAAAATGGCTTTCCTAATGACATGATATGTGCTGTTGGTTTGAATTATTTAAAACTTTTATATGGTATGTCCAAGTTTATTGGTGTGAAGAATACATTTTAATGTTTTGATTTCTTGTTGTTTGGGTGATATAAGCAGACAGTGGCTGTTATATAAGCTTTATTGTAACTTAATGTTTGAAGTATATATTATATAATTCATAGTTGCACACACATTAATTAATGAAATGATAACTTTTATTGTGATATTTGTCTTACTATATCACATGTAGATGCTGGAACTTTAGAAACCGAGTTCATTGTTTTTAAATAGTT